GCGAGCGAAGTGAGTCTTTTCAATATAACGGAAAAATCTCAGTATGAGCGGCCCGGCCCGGCCCGGCCCGGCCCGGCCCGGCCTGTAACGCTTTTGAGAGGCTTATATCTCAGCAACCGCTGGACCGATTGGCCTGCGGTCTTTTTTGTTGGGTAGCCCTATCCCTTCTACCCCGTAATTGACTACTTTTGATACATCTCAGTGACCGTCGTGGCACGTGCCACGTGAAAAGTCAAGGGTGTTCAAGCTGTTTTGCAAAAGTAGTGATTTTGAGAGGCTCATATCTCAGCAGCCGCTTGGGCGATTGACTTGCCGTAATTTTAGTAGGGTAGCAGCATCCCTTCTACCCAAAATAGGATGCTCTCGATGCATGTGGGACACCCCCAGTGCACGTGCAAAATACAACAATAAGAGGTGCCAAATTTGTTCCCATTTCAGTAACTCGGTAATTACTGGGGCGATTTCGCTGAAACTTGGCATACAGGTAGGCACCCACCAGGCAAAGCATTCCCATGTGTTGCGGTTAGGGTGCTACTGCACGTGCGCACGTGCAGGGGGCGTTTCCAGATCTCGAGAACGGCTGGGCCGATTGCGCTCAAATTTGGTACACGGTTGGGGACCAGTTAGTAGGGTGCCGTGCAAAAGTCATTTTGGACCCCGTTTGCACGTGCGCACGTGCAGAATGCCGCTTCCAGATCTCAGGAACGGCTGGGCCGATTGCGTTCAAATTTGGCACACCGCTAGCGACCAGTTAGAAGGGTGCTTTGCGCAAGCCCGTTGGAAGCACCCTCTCGCCCTTCCGCACGTGCAGGGCTCACTATCTCGCTCGCTCGTTCTTCGCCCAAAAGGCGTTTTACTGGTAACTTTTTACCTAGTAAAGATAGTGCAAAAATAAAAGCACCAGTGAACTCAGGACGTCCGTGCGCATCGAATGATATACTTTGTTACCCATTTAAGTGAACTCTGGAATTCAGTTGCCGCTAAGCTAGTCCAATTTTTCCCTGACCTTGTACCGGCTTTTGTGACCTGGTGACCTGACCTGAAAAGACTGGGACTTCAAATTTTCAGGATAGGTGCGAAAAGGTTGCCCCAGAAGGTATGCCAAATTTGGCGGCGCTACCCGCCGCCGTTTTTACGTTATTTGCGAAAAACCTTGGGGGGGGGGTGCATCAACCCCCCTCGCCGGGCGAGGGGGGTTGATGCCACTATAGCCACTATTCTAGTCCCTTTTTATCCCTCAAACGAATGAGCGCGCCAAAACTGACCCAAGCGTTCGTCTGATTGTCAAAATAATGGTTGCAGTCGATTCGTCGGATGACATATCAGTAACTACGAGGTACCTAACTAGCCTCAGCAGCCCTGACTACCCTCGGACCTGCCTGAGGTAGCCGGGAAATGGGGTCAGATTGTGGACCCCTCTCGGGCTTTCGCAATAAGACGCGCAAAAAGGAGCCTATTGCAACGAAACTTCCTGTGACCTCGAGTTAATCAATTTTACACCTACTCTAAAAATTTATTGGCCATGATTCGAATATAGATGATACCTTGGTTCACTTTTTTGAGTTTTATTTGCTTCCACTTACAAGTGAAGTTTTTGGAACTGATTTCGAGTTTAGCGCCCGTTTGAACTTAAAGAAGTAGTTTTGATAAATGGCGGTTATGTAGTAACATGTTACGAAGCTATCGTTGGTGGTTGTCACCCACTCTATGTAGATGGCCGGCAGGAAGCCTGCTGGTCGACCTGACCTGACCCGACCCGATCTACCCCAAATGCATGGAGTCATCATCTTTGTCCAAAACTAACATCGAACTCGTACCCGGAACCCCGATAACAGCTACGGCTCACAAAGTTCTAGCAGGCCAGCTTTTTTCTACTTTTGGGAGTTGACCTAAGATGACCCGGCCAAGACCTTGAAATTGGGCATCATCGGCTTTCTCTCATCACGGGCAGCATCCTCGCTTTTCCGCGAAGCTCTACCTCGATGAGGGGCCGAAAGTATACCTTCAGCGTTGCGTTGGTAAACATTTTACCTTAGCGACCCGTAAAACACGAATAAGAGCTATAGTGACACAGAAAGCGTACTCGATAGCTTTTTTAAAGCTCTTTCGCCAACTTCGCCTCAGATAGGTATGACTTCGGGTCTATGGCTTGTGTACCACATAGGCCAAACAGTTAAACGGACGGATTTTGCCGAAACATTTGTTCTGTAACAACCTATATGATTCAGTGAATGTGTATGATATTCATGCTATCACCATCGTGTTTGTTTCGTCGAAGCACGTCGCATGGCTTACAATTTGAACTTAAGAACTTAACTAGAAAACTTGACATCAGGTAAAGGTTAATCAATGGTCATGTCCTGACCGGAAAAGAACCCGCTGCAAAAATGTGCGATCGATCTGTGTTGCTGAGCTGAACACACTTGACACTCCAGCACTGAACACTGAACACACACTGAACACACTCGTGCTGTCATTGCTCTACAGCGTCTCCATCAAAAGTTGTTGTCGAAAATGTGTAAGAGACCTTTGATGACCCAGTCACCTAACTATAATAGTAATGACTGACCATTCGAGTCACCACTGGTCATTAACTGCACCTTGTCTCTAAAATGAGCAGAGGTGCCATGGCTACAAAAGTATCTTATAGCGTTTTTAGCATATTCGTTCAAAGCAGAGGGCATCTCGTGCATTTTCCCATATCTTATCATGATTGATTGGTGAGGTCACATATTTGACCTGACTTCACTTTTCAGATGTAAAATCCCAGATTCATTAACTGTTGGCACTTATAATCCCATTCATTACAACAAATTTCAGACTTATAGGAGATAATCTTTTTTTATAAATTTAGCTCGAATGTTTGAATGGACGGATTGACAGAGCCGGAGCCCACGCTAAGCAGAGCTTGTTGCATAGACCCCGATCCCTACCGTCCGATCGCGCAATTCCGGGTATCGGGAGAATTTAGATGCCAAAGTTTAACGTGCCCTTCAAAGCCGGACACGGCCTGCCCCACTCAACTGACCAACTGGCTGCGGCTGCTCCCACCAACCGCAGACCATCCCCGTCAGGAGTCTCAAATATCGAGCGCCGGGGCGTCTCGAACCCGGGCTCTCACTACCGGGAGTCCAATGCTCTACCAACTGAGCTACGGGACAGGCAAATTTATAGGAATGAAAATAGAATAGTTATACAAGATTGCAGCTTTTAGAGGCATTAAAACTGAACTGAACATGACATTGTGACCTGACCTCAGGTGGCCTGTGCTTGATTTTTATGCACGATGCAAAAGTGATGTATGTAGTATGTACAATAAGATACACCGCTGCTTTCGTGGCGCTGCGCGCCGAGATTTTTCTCAACACATGAAAAAACCGGGAGTGTGGCTAATAACACCTCTACCCATCAAGACGAAGACCGGAAACCCGACCCCACCCCACTCAAAAATCCGTGGCGACGCCCCTGCCTCCTCCCCCTCCTGCCCCGTAGCCGCTGCGAACACTAATTCGTGCAAGGGGTCATTTTCACTTCTCCTTCGGACGCCGCAGCACGCTACTTCCCGCCGCGCGGGGGCCGAGGGACGCTACCTCCCGCCACACCGGATGACCATCGGGCCTGGGCGCCGCCGCGGCGGGCGATGGACGGCGCTACCTCAATTCGATCTCGAGAAAATCAATCACGAGCACACTGCCAAGTAGTGTACCAAGGTGGTCCAAATTTGTATCCGCCCCTCCTATTGGTCAACGTCACGGCCGCCACAGGGATGCATTACGTCATTCCCGTCTGCCAACGACCAATCACAGTATGGTACTTGCGTCTTCATGGTCGCTTCAAATCCTGGGGCCGAACGTAACTTGGGCCCCTGTGTAACCTTGGTCCCGGTGTAACCTGGGTACAATTGTATTCTGAGGGCTGTTCACGGACCCTGTGTGCGGTTGGACCGCACACAGCCTCCAAGCTCCGCCCACTGCGTCCCTACGTCAGCCTTGCGTCACCGCACACAGCGACCGCTGTGGCCGGTCGGGACTGGCCACAGCGGACCGTCCACCGCACGCAGCCGTGACGTCAGAGCCGCCTACCCATCCCCTACCCCCACGCCTGCTGGACGTACCGCACACACCGCACGCAGCAGTGTGCGGTGCCCGTGAACACCCCTCTGGTACTTATGAATGTCACCCGTCCGGACATGGGCGGGGGCGGGGGCGGGGGCGGCCGCTGAGTCTGGACTCGGTGAGTGTCCGCCCGCTACTGCGTCCCGTTGCGACCCGTCGCCGCCCGCGGTGCGCCCGACCCGTCGCCCGCCTCGTGTGCCGCTCTCCCGGCGGGGTGAGGAGGGAGGTCGGGGGGGGGGGAGGAGGACATGGGCCGACGGAACAAACTCGGTCGTACCGGAACAGAGCCGCGGAGTAACCTGACCGGCGGATAAAAATTGGACAGAATAGAGCGGTGGAAATAAAACAACGCAACTCAACGCAACGCAACAACGCAAAGCTGAACAGTAATACGACACCGAGGACGGAATACACACAGAAAGTTACATTTATAGCAAGCGCCATCCCCACAAGACTACACCGACTGCAAAGCAAGGAAGGAATGACAGATAGCGAAAGATTCGCTGCTAAATGAGTCAGGGAAACTGGAAATGCGAGAAGAAACAACAAGGCCTACAGGATGAATCAATTCAGGTTCTCTGAGGGACACGATGGAACCAAAAGAGAAACAGAATAAGTGGGATGAAACCGATGAAAACAAAATGAAAAAGGAAAAAATAGGATTTAGATTGGATATGTGAAAAGGTACAACGGAGAGAATTAAACGTTCATAATGAAGGATCATAAAAAGCAACGTAGGGATTGGATCATTATGTGGAAAGAAGCAAACAGAGGAACTCAAAAAGAGGAGAGCGAAACTGAATATGGCTAGGAACCGGGAGAGAGCAGAGCCTGGCGAGAGACAGAGAGGAGGGGCGCGAGCAGGCCGCCGGCAGAGCCGCTTACTGCCAAACATGGCGGCGCGCGACGTCTCGATCTTGGCCACCACACTGGGCGCCGCCATGACGATCACGGGCAGCACGTCAAAGTAGCTCGAGTGCGGCGCCACGGCGATGATGGGCGCGTCGCGCGCCGAGGCGCGCCGGCCGCGCACCGTCACCCACGGGAAGCCGGCCGAGAAAAACACGGTGCGGGTGCAGAGCAACAGCACCACGCGCAGCCGCCTGTCAGTCACCGGCAGAGGGGAGGGCGCCGATACAGACAGACAGACAGACAGACAGAGAGACAGACACACGGACAGACCCACAGAGTACAACCAATGACACCATGGGCAGCCGGGGAGATCTGTCGCAACAAAACATTTTCTTCGAGCGAGACACCACTCAGGATTCAGAAATAAGACATCGTGACCTTGACAACATTCCTGTAAACCTAAGATGAACATTATGTTTGAGCATTAGTTGCCCACCTTTAAGCAATGGTAAGGATGGCTTAGAACCAAGGGCTATAGGAAGACAGATGTATGATGGACACCATCACACCGACTCAACTAGAGAGGGGTGGCGCGGCGCCGAGAAAAGGTGTAATGCCGCCGGAGCCTGACCTGCGCCAGCCTCTGAGCGGCTGGTTGCGCTCCTCCTCGGTCATTCCGTAGAGGCCGATGCAGGCGAACATCCAGCCGATGAGCACGCACAGGCACACGCCCATGATGCGGAACGACAGGACGAACACGGTCATCAGCGCCGCCTGAGACAGGGGCCAGAGGGGTCAGGGGCAGAGGTCAGCTGAGACAGGGGCACAGGTCAGCTGGGACAGGGGCACAGGTCAGCAGAGACAGGGGCAGAGGTCAGCTGAGACAGGGGCACAGGTCAGCTGAGACAGGGCCGGAGGGCGAGCAGAGGTCAGCTGGGACAGGGGCACAGGCAGTGTGTCCAAAATTGTAATGTTGCGGGGAAATCCACCCATAATGAAAAGTATAATGACATCCTAAAAAAAAAAAAAAACATTCTCACGGCAGTCACAACTTATAATATACCTAACCATAGTGTAATAAATAACCATAGTGGTAGGGGTAGTCAACTTTGCATACCTTCTCTGTCATATGTAAGCTATCATTTGGATGTCAAGCACTAAATATATGACGTGAATCTGTTAAGTTATGACGTCATAATTTAGTATAATACAGGATCTACCACCACTTTAAGTCAACAAGGGAAATTGGGAGCTGCTATTCGGGCACCGGTAATGGTTTCATGCACTCCTTGCAAGGTCCAGTGCTTGACTTTAGCATTGTTGACTTTGCGTGACGTCATTTATGACGTCACTAAGGCCATATAAGTTTTTCGTCAATAACTCCTGATCAGATAGAGCTAGAGAGACGGGAAAGCCACCATTGGACTCAGGAAGACCTGCCGAATCGAATGATATGCAATATGACCTTCAACCATTTTCGTGACCTGAGGGGCTCCGACCTGACCTTGACCCGAGGTTAACACCTTAAGTTGACTTCACCCGAACACCAAGTATAGCATTCAACGCGCCTGAGCTAGAAAACACGATGATGCCAAAATCGCGGTAGTGCGACCATTTTTGGCAAAGTAATTAAACTAAAACCGAGCCCGTGACTTGTGGCACTTATCTGACCTAAGAGGTCACTGGCTGACCTAAGACCTTAAAATCCGGTAGTACCTAATTTTTGCGTCTTATAACGGCACACAAGCTTGTTTTTTTTTCGCGAGGCTCTAGCTCAATTAGAGGCGAAACGGCGAGGGAGTTGTACCAACCCTCCCCGGTCAATATAGAAAACCAATCGGTCCGGCCAGGGTTAAATACCGGAATTGTGATCTAATGTAAAAAGACGGCCCAAGGTAACCCGACGTCAGTGACAGGTGTCCTATATTTGCAGCGTCTTATATTCACGAAGGTTTCAATTTCCACTTTCTTCAGCCGAGTGATGGTTGTCAATAGCAAGGCTCTCTAAATGCAAGCCATAATCGCCACGCAATATGTGGAAGGCTTTTGATGTCAATACATACATAAATGCATACATAAAACGCGCTTTTCACAAAATTCATAAACTTAAAGGGACCCTCCCACCTTTTGCCGTCATTCATCCTGAACAAGACTACCCACCTCCAGCGTGACTACAAAAAGCAACGCATAATTAATCAAGTATGGTTAAATATTGGTACAGTGTGTGATGCAGTTGAATGTGACGGCGAGCGTGCTGCGGTCTGCTCTTGTTTAATTGTATCGATTTGTATCCGATATTTGCATTGGTCTTTTTAAGTGTACGTCTCTTGCGCAATACGTATCGCTACATGACCTCCAAAAGCCATCTGGGCCAATGTGCACGTGTGAATATTTGGTTCTGTTCCAATTTTTCAAATGTGATTGCCTCGGCTAAGCCAGAACCCGATGATGTCGTAAGACGAAAGCTCGTTCTATATTTCGGCCTCATTTTGTTATTTAAAAATACATCTTACTGCCATGTTACTGGTCAATTTCATCACCATAATTAACTTTTACTTTTGTTTACTTTTTGGGATCTACGCTGTTCCTAGCGACTTTACTTGGAAGCAATAGTTTGGCAGCTGAAAGTGCGGCACTTGTTGCGCGCAAAGGAGCATATACCACCGCGTGCTACAAAATGTTTTAGTCAAACATTTAAAAATCGTTAGATATCTGCACTGACGTCACACATTCAGAGGGGTATTCCAATGCATTAGCCCCTCTGAATCAAAATGCTGCAATTTTGAAATTCAATATTTCCGATTTAAGGCATTTCTCGATGTTGTGAGTGCCGAAACCGGTAATTGTGAGCCAGGGACCCCTATTTTGGCTATCTCAACTCAAATTTAATGTTAAGGTGGGAGGGTCCCTTTAACCCTGTTAGTGGCAGGCTCCTGGCTACCCCTATTAGTGGCAGGGGGGCTGTTTACGACCCCCCTTGATATCTCGAGATCCAACGGGCCGATTTTCAAAATTCAAATGGCATTCGATTTCGCTCAACGTGATCTACATTCCTAAAAAATAAAAATTAAAAAAATGTCAATAGGGGGGTAGAGGGGGGTAAAAACGGGCAAATTGCAGATACATTTTAGACTGTTTATCACGGCCAGGTTTCTGAACCAATCTTAACGCAACTTTTGCCGATCGATAGAGAATGAACCAGGAATTCACATGGATCCTAAAAATATGCATTTTCAAAAATCATAGGCGGATACAGATCATTGAGATTGGGGGTACACAAAAAGTATATGTAGTAAATAAGGTTTTTGTTGGTACTGTTTCTAAAAAGGGTGGTAATGGTCTTGTTATGTTACAATTTTCTTATGAGAGAACGACTACAATTGTATTGGTCATGCATAGGCGGTGTCAGGGCACCTATGTTGGGAGGTAAAACATAACCCCCTTTTTGGACGCCTGGATCCGCCTATTATAGCAAAAACGTGTCAAAAGAGGATGCACAATAACTTTGTATATGTTATCACATGATACCTTTCATTCACTGTTCGTAAAACTGGTGCATACAGTTATAATACATCAGCATCGTGATCTTCGCCCAAATGACTCGCTTCACGAATAGGACCCCCCAATTCCCAGTGCTCTGGAGCCGCCCCTGGTAAAGGTCCCTACCTTTACCAGGGTGGTAGGGTGGGGTAATTTGAACATGTGGGGCAATTTGAACATAGTGTGAATAACACAAAATGACGGAAAATCCATAAGTGGCATGACAATAAGACCAATGAGAGAAATTGTCGTAACTAAAAGGGCTATCATATGAACGGGGTTTAAAGTTTCAGGGAATGAAGGTGTTGATGAACAGTGTAAAAAATCAATTTCGAAGGATAAACGCCTAACAACACGTCATTGCAACTTCATTGCAGCGCAAAATCTTGCATTGCTAGCGCCTAATACGCAACGGCTTTTGTTGTGGAATGACCTAATCAGTGCCTTCAATCCAAGAAATTTGCTTTTGAACCCTGTTTTTTTAAATGGCAAAATAACTTTTAGCGTGGGGTAATTTGAACATAGTGTGAGAATTTCAATGAAGACAGGGATAGCTCCGAAAAAACAACGCTCCCAGTTTTTTTTTTTGCCAATATTTTCGACCGAAAGCAGTAGCAGATAAGTGATGCCAGTTTTAGAAAATTTACGTCTAATATCCGTCTAATGTCCGGCATTTTCGTTGATTTTCCGTCCAAAAATGTTAAAGTCAACTATTTGTCCAAATATGTCCGAAAATTATGCAGCTATCAACACTCGAAACCGTCATTTATATTGCTTATCATGTAATTTTACCAGCCGAAAAGTGTCCATTATATTGAGAGCTTAACAAGCTTTCCATTCGCCAATCAATGCTACGCACGATTACTTGATAAAAATGCTTAAGTGTGGCAGGCCATCGTCCAATGTTGTCCAGATTACTATACCTTTGTGCAATCAATTCCAAATTTGACATTATAAAGAATCGGAACACCGAATGTCCAGGTTCCGATTGGCACCACTATAACAGATGAAGTAAGGTTTGGTAGAGTTTTTATCGAACGGAGATGATAGACATTCTGTTAAATGAAGAGAGGCGAATTCTGGCAACTGACCGGTGTGCAGCGTGCAGATATTGATACTCTGCAACTCTTATTTTTGTTGTTGTGTTGATTTTTCAAATGAAGGTATGTTTAGAATTGCTCTGCCTATTCGTTTATGGGTCAAACAACATCGGTGCTGGCGAGACTATCGTTTTTATGGCAGGTAAAGGCAGTATGTTCAAATTACCCCACGGTGGGGCAATTTGAACACACCGTGACTTGGTGGAGAAGTGATGCTATGCTATTCAAGGTATGCTCGGCTCGTCCAAAAATGAGGCCTGCATTGTGAAAGCAAGTGACACATGCGCTACTGAAACAGTTTTTCTTCATCCAGGGTTGAGCTGGAATTTGGTACAACGGAGAAGACGTAAAAATATGTTCAAATTACCCCACACTACCCTATGACCTTGAAATTTTCAGGGAATGTGCCCAATTTAGTTTTAGGAAAAGTCAGAAAATTTCAGCATCGTAGCTTCAGCGGTTTCGGAGATATTCCCGAAAAACCTGAGGGGTGGATGAAAACAACCCCACTGCCACTAATAGGGTTAAGCGCATCTGTTTTTAATGACCAGTCAACTACGCATGGATGCGTGCAGGCCACACAGGTCAGCGTAAGCCGGGCGCGGCGGCCGAGCCGAAACTGGGGCGGGACGGGCGGTGGTTGGGTAGGAAGAGCGGCTCATGCAAATTTTGCGCAAATATGCGCAGTTAGCTTTTATGTTGCCCTGGTGTAAATTTAAATCCTACTTCATCTCACAAAAAATCAGAGTGGAACTATATGGGACTGCCTGTTGTTTCCTTACCTAAACTTTGCAGTTATATTCCAGAATCACTGTAGGAGAGCCTTCATAAAAAAGCTATAGTACATCTTAGTTAAGGATTAGTATGCCAAAAATTTTGCACTGACCAGTCGGCAACTTCATAACAAACATTTTGATGCATAATGGCCGTTTTCACGACGGAATAGCAGGCATCTATTTAATCCCCATTTGATCCTTTAGTTCCTCAGGAATTTTAGTAGTTCTTTTTAGTAGGTTCCCCAGCTTTCGAATGAATGGTGCGTTAGTTTGCTATTTTTCTATTAAATATCACATCGATTTACTTTATCTAAGGATTTATCACTAATATCAACATAAAGCGTAAGCACAATTATAAAGTTATGAAATTATGAAATACTAGTACAATAGTTGAAAGAAGATACTGAGTTGCCAGGCTACAAAGAATATATTCATTTATGGCGCACGACAGACATTTAGAAAGCAGCGCCCTGTTTTATTGCACGCTGCTAGCCGCTTCCATTGGGTTTTGCAGGCCGACGTCATTGGTCGTTACACGTATGATGTCACGCGACTTGTGGCCTGTCACGGCTCTTTAATGATCTCCACTAAATGAATGCAACAATGGCCTTTTAATGAGTTTTAAGTTGATCTCTGTGGCCATCTGTCTATGGAGCGACCAATATGAAAGTTGGGTGAATTTACCGGGGTTACATGACTATGAGCAAGCAAATGTGTATCAGGAATGGATTTAGGTGGAGAATTGCGCTGGACCATGAGTGCTCGAACGCTCCCAATTCCACGCCGGTTTGGCTTTGGAGCCGAGACAGACGATGCGGGTCAAGGTCACCGCTGGGGTAACGGTGGATTGGCTGCGCCCGAGCACCCGTAACGCGGCACAATTCTCCATCTATGGATTTTCCTATTCGCTCAGCATTGTGATAGGCGTTCGTAATAGCATTTACTCTGCTCATGTACCTATCCCCGGTTATTTAAAATAAGTCTTTGTGGGGGAATATCACGGCTTTAGGTACTCGGTGGCCCTATTCACGACTTTCAAAGAATGCTCCGATAACTAAACACTGCACAGACCTACTGCATTAGTGAATCTGACAGAAGGTCTGTGGAATTACATCCCCCCTCACCACACCCCTAAAAACTCATCCAGTGTCCAAAACCACTTTTATCGACTCGCCAAAAAAAACAAAAACAAAAAACACACACACACATACACACACAAAGCATGGGGCATGTCAGCTCTTAGTTCATTTATCATTGTCTTTACCATGGTTCAATTGCATTGCGCGATTTAAAGCACGTGAGTGCCTATATAGTATATGTATATGTAGAAAATAATATCTACAGCAAAACATCCAAAATTACAAAGGCTACAATGCTTAAAAAGTAGGTTCATCAAGGAAGCCCATTTTTACTTGCGTTGTGTTCCCAACCATGCGATTCCAACGCGGGCTATTCGCAACGTCTGTTAAGGCACGTTGACAACTGACAAGCCGCCACCGCTGCCACTTATTCATAGATGGTTGATATCGCAGCTTGGGCGTCAGCAGCGCGGCCCACAACGCGTCGGCGCCAGCGCACGCAGCTGTTGGCACTCGACAGCCGGTGTTGCGACTTAACGGCCGGTCGGCCCCATAAAGGAGAAGCTCTTGGTGAAGCTTTGTGATCGCCTCATAGCCGCCTTGGATGTCATCTTTCTTGGCAGATCCATCCGTTCAGATGGTACGGTGCAGTCTGGATAAAGGACGAAGTCCAACGCCGCTAACCCCGCGACCGCCACCCCACAACGTGGCCGCAGACCGAACGGGCGTGAGGGCCGTAAGGGCCACCCCGCCATCCGGTAGGTGGCTGACCAGCCGGGCGCAGCGGCGCCTGGGCGGCGGCCGCGCTGAGATGAAGTCCCAAACCGCCATGTCGCCATCACCGCCATCACCATTGCTGCAGCTGTTCCCAACCGCCTCAATCGCCGCCGTTTTGCCAGCAGTCGCGCCGCGGAATGGCAGAAGCTCCAGAGTAGCCTCCAGCGCCCCTCTCCGCACGTGTGCAGGTGCACTGCGGCCGCCGGGTCCGACGTCCAGGCAGAACATGATATTTCCATGCTGCTCC